TCCCCCCCCCCCCCCGAGGTTTGACGGCAGGGTAATTTCAGATTCACAGCATACTTGGGTACTCCGTGTCTCAGAAAACTGTTTCACAAAACCGGGCAGTCGTGGGAGTCAAAAGTCTGTCTTTTATCTATAAACCACAACAGCCAACGCTAACGTGATCTATACAACTACGGCACGCACAAAACCCGGACCTGGTCTTCGCGATAGCCGCATTCTTTTCCACCTCTCTACAACTTCCTACTCACCGCTTCTCGCCGTCATTCGTGGGCTGGCGTTTAATCGTTCCGACGGCTTCCAGCAAGGCCACCGAGCTCGATGATATCCATTGTTTGCGTCTTGATCGCATACAAGAAACCGGCATTGTTTTGATTGACATTTGGATAGCTTGATTAACGTGTTGTATTCATTGAGTTCTTCGATGATTGGTTGAACTGCGGTTTGATGACAGTACCGCTTCGAATGCAGATTTTCAACTATCACTAGGTTGTATTGCGGGAATCCGTTTTCGGTCGCTCGTTTTTGGTTATTTGCCAGACGTAACAAGAATCTGGCTCTTGACAAATCGTGGTCCGTGCACACGTGTATTGGATAGTGAGAGCGTCAGTCTTGGATAGACCTCCGTCAGGGGGAGCCAATGGTTGTCGATTCGTGTCCACCGCTGCGGAGAAATTTTGGCGGTTTTTATGTAGAGTGGTGTCGTTTCTTGTGCGAGAAGTTGGCGCTCGATAGAAGCAAACCATGGTCAGCGCATAGCAGATTTAAGCGATCATCGTTCCATTTCGTCTGTTTGCCCAGTTTAGCAATTTATTTGCAAATGTTTCATCACCAGCTGAGGAGACATCATCAGTGCACTGACGTTTGCGAACAAATCGCCCATCTCGGCGAACAGACGAAACGGAATACACTTTACCCGAGCTACGAGAACCAATTTCCAATACTTTGTGAACGATCGTTATTGTCCGTCCTATTCGCTGGGATAGTATGTCGACCGCCGATAACTCTTTCTAATTCGTCCAGGCATCCCGCTTGAGCGTTGACGTGTCCAATCAATACTACGACATCCGTTCACGGATAACTTACGAGTTGTTGTAGAATTCATGTTTCATTTCAAGCAATATACTGAACCATTGAGACGTACAGGGCACAGTCGGCGACTGAAGGAATATATATATATATATATATATATATATATAATACTCCGGCTTGAGAACAAGCATGGTGCCAATGCAAAACAAAGATAATGAAATTATCCAGGGGTACAGAAAGATTAGATGAAAATGGGGAAAACAGAGAACACGGAGAACGAATGTATAAATAATGAAAAATGTTTTTGTGTTATGGGGAATGGGGTTTCGCCAAACAAACCGCGCAGCAATCACGCCACTGACATCTATTCTGAGCCATATCACCCAACATCTCTAGCCATCGGCAATCCCCATAGCTTGGGCCTCAGCCTGGAAGCCGAGCTGCACCAACCGGAGCCAATGCTGAAGCCAGCTTCTTCATGCCTCTACGCCACGTCATGGTTTGACCACGCGAAGCTTCTTCCAATTTTGCCAGGCACGTGCAAAGAGAGTACGGAAAGGTAGTCGATTGGTAGGCGTATGCAAAACATGACCGATCCATCGGCGGCGGTGTAGAACGATTTCTTCCGTTAGAGAACGACTATCAGTACCCAGCACACGACGATGAACCTTTTCAGTACTCACCCGGTGTTCCCACCAGACACGAACGATGCTTCGGAGACATCGGTGGTCGAATACGGAAAGTCGATTAACATCCTCCGCTCGGAGACCAGGTCCCGAAGCTATTGAGATCAGGCTTATACCCCCATCATATCGTAATCATTGCGCGAACCCTTTTTGAAGATGGGGATGACAATCGACTCCCTCCATCAGGAGGGGACCTGTTCACTGTTCCAAACTTTAGAGAACAGAATTTGTAGTTCTCTAACAAGCTTTATTCTGCCATCTTTAAATGGAGCTGAGGGGAGGTCATCGAAGCCCGACGCTTTGTGACGTTCGAAAGCTTGGGTCTCTGGTGGGTCTGTTAAAACAGACCATGGGATGTGTGCCGGAGTAGCTGTATGAGAAGCTGGCGCGGGTGGTTTTTTGTGCATCCGCACTTAGTGATCAGCGCTTTCATAAATGCTTGGTTCAAACTCACATTGAATCAGCCGATGATGCAGATACCAGAGGATAAATGCCATCTGACTGTCGACTTGACTCATTATGTGTTTATCGATGAACGTCTTTTTTGAAGAATTTTTGCATCAAGTTTCTGTTAGTCATTAGATGAACTCGTTTCGAATAAAATCAAGCGTCGCAAATAAGATGAATGTGAACCAGTGAATGCGCTGGTACTTATCCCAATTTGAGAATCGCAGAAGTTACTGGATCGATTGCAGTTGTTTGCCTTGGTTAATGCTCGGATTTCGGGTCGATTATTGGATAGTAGAAATAAACGGCGCGCTTGTTGATGTCCTCGTGAAGACCAGATCGAGACAGACGACGATTTATGATTGCTAAAAGTACGTCTTTGTAATCTGCAAAGGTTTTTTCCCGGAATTCTGTAGGGCACGCGAATGTGGTTATTTTTGTTGCAGTGGTAACCAAAGCCACGGCCATTCGATTCATCCATGAGCTCTGTCGCACTAACATGCAAACGGGTGAACAATACTCGCGATTGACTGATGAGCGGATGAGTGGAGTGGGATGTCAGATCCGAGCGATCGGTAACCGCCATTGCGCGCACTCGGCTGTGAATCAATGAACGATAATCGACAATCCTTGTTAGAGCACCGATGAAAATAGACAGGTCATTGGGCAATGTAAACGTCCGATGCGGTATATCGAAAATAAATTTCTTCGCGAATGACGTTTTCTACATTAAGCACAGGTCATCGTAACTCGGGTCTGACGCGNCTAGTTTGTGAATCACGTGTTGAACTTGATCCGTTACTTATGTTTGCTGACACTGACCATAACGGATTTAGCAATCCGTCGGAACACACCGACAACAGTAAAAGT